AACCAAAGGTAATGCGGAGGGGGTAAACACGGGAGTGTGAAAAATTGCTTGCGCGTCTTGCTAGTTGACTTATAGTGGGTACGGAAAGTAAATTCTTAACAGGGGCAAACAGCAAGAGGCTAGTGTGAACAATGGAGAACCTTAAAGTGAAGGAACTCATCAAAATTTGTGAGAAGTCGGCATTACTTTGGGCCGTGCGAAACGAAGGCAAGTGATCCTTGAGATCATGAGGAATGAAGGAGTTTCGGCTGAGGAAGTCGATGAGGCCTGGGAGGATATCAAAGCACACCACGCTTTCCGTTAGTTTTCCTTATCTTTTCTCTAACAACTCGGAGCAGCTTCTCAAAGAGCAGGGTAAATCGTTCTTCTCCAACTTAGCGTACATGGCCCTCACGCGATCGCAAGCGCGGAAGCTTTCGCGGGAGCTTGATCTTGTTCTGTGTGGTAAAACAAGTTCAAAAGCAGCAGATCTGTGTGACCTTGGTGGCGAGTCGACAGAACCTCAAACACGAAATTCTCTGTGTGCGTCGTTTGAGCGGCCACTCGAGCGGCCCGTCGCCGAAGCGACCGGCGCGGTATGCGTAGCAAGGGGAGACGACATGGCGCTATTGAGTCAGCGCGAGAGGGGTGCAACGCTCTCGCCTGTAGCGGAAAGTTGGAGCGAGCTGTCGAGTGTTGATCGAGAAACGCTCATTCGGGAGCAACGTGAGGACCTCTCGATAAAAGCACTAATGGAAAGCATAAACTTAGGAAAAAAGAAAAGGAATGTTTCTTTTTTGAGAAAGCAGGGCTCCTGTATCGGCGCTACACAAATGCGCAAGGTCGCAAATATGAGCAGCTCTTGGTGCCACAAAAGTATCGTCGCCAACTATTGGAACTGGCGCATGAAAACGCGTGGGCAGGGCATCTCAACATAAAGAAGGTCAAGGCTAGAGTTTCCCGTGAGTTTTAATGGCTGAAATGCTGGAAGGATATCGAAGACTTTGTACGCTCATGCGACACTTGTCAGAGAGCGAGGAAATTCGCGGACAAGTGGAAGGCACCCATGAAGCTTTGTGATACCAATTATGAAGTGAAATTAGGAAGGCGGCTGAACAAAATGCACCACGGTGACTTGATGAAACCATACGTTCAACGTCAAGCGGTCGTAAATCTGCTGTTGAATGCTTCAGAAGAAGAGGGAGCAGAAATTTTTAGTTCTAGTGAGGTAATCGATAGGAAATCGCAGGTAGCCTTGGAGCAGTTGAACCTAGAGCCTAGGTTAAGTGAAGTCCAGAAGGAGGACCTGAAAAGGATTGTTTCCGAGTTTGGATACGTGTTTTCGGACCGCCCCGGAAACACGAGGGTGATTGAACACGATATCGAGCTAACTGGTGAGGAGCCAATCCGTAGCAAGCCGTATCGTTGTTCCCCTGAGCAACGTCGCAAGTATGAGCAGCTGTTGGTACCGCATAGGTATCGTCGCCTCAAAGTGCCCGGTTACTGAGATGGAGCATGATGCTCTAACAGCACAACTTCGACGTCCGCTACAAAAAAGGAAAGCTAAATGCTAATGCAGACGCATCGAGCCGTGCGTTTAGTTAGTACCTTCTCCACCTTTCGGTTTCTCGCTGGCGATTCGGGCAAAATTTTGACCTCATCACGACCTGGGCTGAGCGCTCTCGTCCAGAGTGAGCTCAAGGAGCCAACTTTATCTTCCACTCTATTTCGTTTCGTTGTTGTACGTGTAAAAAAATTGAGTTCTCATTTTAAGAGTCTTGTGTCCCACATGTGCCTCTTGATGTAGAGGGAACGAAATTCCGATAGACACGTAGCGAGGTATATGTTGTAATATACTTTGTCTGGTGTTCTGTCGGGTGACCGAGGGCACTTGCTTGTGTCGTGTGTTGTCTGCGGTCGATCCGTTCTTGACAAGTTGCAGAACCATCGACAAGTGCTGAAACCAAGGATCGTCAGAAGAGACGAGCGAAGCTGGTCGAAAAGTTGTGTCTCCCCATGGCCCTGGAGGCAAACCTGGAGGGACCTGGCGAACGAGCGCGCCTGACATCCGAGCCACGTGGAAGCAGCTCGTCTTTCCGGCGCATTGTCTGGCAGCAGGGGTGCTATGCCTGCTAGTCTGCAGCGAACGTCCATGCCTCAGAAAAAATGAAATCTGTGTCAAGGCCAGCACGCGAGCCCGCCTGATGCAATGAACAACTCAACAGCGTCAACACGCGACGGCGCCTTTCTGTCCCGCACGTGCAGTGAGTCACCTCAGCAAGCGAGCCCGTCGAGCAAGCAATCGGCGCCTTCCTGTCTGGCGGGTGACGCAATGCCTGGCGACGTCACTCGTCCTTGGGTGCAGCCACCTGCAGCGCAGCCTCTCTGAATTCGATGAGAAAGAAGGACGCGGCCCAGCGGTGACCCCATTGGAGGAGTCTGACCTCATGACCAGCGGCGCTTCTGGTTGGACATTTTGTTATTCAAAGAATCCACCCGGTGCATATAAAAGAAGCCCTGTGGCGCGTCGCGAGCAGCAGACCTGTTGAAGAGCAGACATGTGTGTCGCAGCAGTCCTATGTGAGAGCAGACATGTGTGTCAGAGAAGAGAGCTATGTGATAGAGAGTTGAGCTGTGTGTCAGAGAAGAGAGCTATGTGATAGAGAGTTGAGCTATGTGTCAGCAGTCCTATGTGAGAGCAGACATGTGTGTCGCAGTTGAGCTGTGTGTCAGAGAAGAGAGCTATGTGATGGAAAGTTGAGCTGTGTGTCAGAGAAGAGAGCTATGTGATAGAGAGTTGAACTATGTGTTAGCAGACCCATTTTAGAGCAGACCCATTTAAGAGCAGACCTATGTGTTAGAGAGGAGAGCTCGGCTCTTCGGGTCTCTAAGCTGTCGGCCCCAGTGCTGAATTTGTAACGCCTCTGTATATATGCTGTACATAAACCTTGTTTAACTCACGGTCGTCTCGTCCGCTCGTCTATCAGCTCTGCGCAGAAGCAGTCGCGAGCTGAGAAACCTACGCTACCAAACGGCTGGTGACCTTCCCGGCGGAGTTCGAAGAAGTGGCGCCTTCGGGACCGTGTTGGCGTCACCGTATTTCGAAACAGTAGTTACAGCGGTGAGATTCGAGGCGCCCTTCGTAACGTCGTCGGAGGCGCGCATCGCAACAACCTACACCGCTTCTTCTGAGCACTGTTACTGCCATTCTTTTTTTTCCTTTTCTGAACGCTGCCATCAAGTTATATAAAAAAGGTTTCACCGCAAGGGTGAAGTAATTAATGTGATGGCAACAAATTGTAGAGCTGGCAACAAATTCTTTCAGATCCGATATGTCGCAACTCTATGAAACACTGGTGTAAGAGAATAAGGCCGCGCCAAGAAGATATACCTTTCTTGCAGTCTGTTCGTGTTGACAACGCAGCACGCAGGGTTCACGAGCCATTCGCACTGATGCCTGCCATGACAGCAGGCGTGCATAGCGATTGCCACCACACCTTTAGAATGAAAATTCACGACTGCTGTGGGGGCAACCATAGCCTTTACAAAACCGAAACTATAACCGTTTCGATAAAACAGAAAACACAATGTTTCTGCCATGTTCACGGGCAAGGGGTTTGAGAGCCGTCGCACTTGTGACTAAATTCGGGTGCTGCGAAGCACTACGATGCTGACAAAGGAGTTTGACTCAGATGGGTTGGTTCGGCGCAGAATGGCGCAGGTAAACAACTTTGGCGCAGAATAGCAAAATGACGCAGCTGTTCCACCCCTGCACTCGTAGCTGATGACTACACTATGTCTCGAAGGTAGGGTTTTATAGCTAACACTGCCAGCCTACCGCACGAAAAGTATAGTTAATATCGTGCTTGTTAAAATGCACAGTGCACTGAAACCCTTTCTGGAATGAACAGTCACATAAACTGAGAACGTAAGCGGTGCATCATGAGAAACGTACTTATATGGCTGATATTAATAAACAATCTTATCAAAGTTACACTTGTGCTCTCTGTCTACGACAATATTAAAAAGTTTTCAGTTTGACGACAAACTTCTTAGCGTCAGCATTTTAGCCTATTGCTGCACAAACCACAAACAGACGACCTGGACAAGCGGTGCCATATGTCGCTGCTACATCACTTTTATGTGCAACTAGGCAAGCAGATATGAAAATTTGTTTTGCTATATCAAACAGAAACGGTGATGATCGTAGACCTCCAAATGCATCCGAATCCGTAGCATGTCATTGTCCAAAAGCTCTATGTGTAAGCTTGTGCACGAGTAGTGATCAGTCACATACATGGTGGGGCATAGTCCCCTATCCACTGAGCTGGCAGGACCGGTATGTGCACCAGGACTGTGCGCTGGCAGGACCGGCATATCTTACAGGGTTTCTCGTTTTTACAAAGTAGTACATGATACATAGACAGTACACTCAATTGGGTTTCAGTATTATGCCTTCTTACTTATTAAAAATTATTTTTGAATTGACTAAGCATTCAAGCTATCGGACACGTGACAAGAGTGTCTCAGGAACATGAAAGCATCAGTTACTCCTAACGTGGTAAAGAATTACCGGAGTTTGCCTATAAGGGGCTGCAACGTCAGCTCGGTGCATAGTTTGTCACTTATAATATGAGAACGGTTGTACTTTCATGACAGAACAGCGGTAAAGAGAATCCTTATGGGTGGTGAAAGTGAGAATGATTCCACACATCATCCTGGGCTCTTGTGATGCAGCGTTAAAGCATTCGAACCGTTGCGTTTGATGAACACACGACGCAGCGAAGCGATGACTAGGACTAGTTGGCTCACATCAACTTTGCACAGACATATGAGTTTGCCCAGTCAAAATTTAAGAAACTTATGAAAACTGAATGGTGCAATGGAAGCTAGAAAAACACCAGGTGACTTCAGCATGTTTAACAGTGCCGTCCGTGTACATCAACACTAAGTGAGCAGGACATTTGAAGTAGCCCAAGAGCATCATATTCTATACCCTGAGAAATATGCTATAAGCTCACCTCCTGTGGCAATGGTGATGTTCCGCACTGGGTGGCCATAGAAGGGAAAGTCGAAGCTTAAGTTGACCGTCTAGAAGCACAGAAGAGCACGCAACCAAATGAGAACACTCGACAAACAATCTCTAATGCATGGCGACAAGCTTAAACTCAAACAATTTGAGGTTTCGAGCTAGTCGCTACTCTATGAACGATAGTGTTAAGTGCAAAAGCTTTTAGACAAGATAGAGCAACAAACAGTGCTCATATATTCTTGTAGTCATCTTTTTTGCAAGTTTTCAGGCTTAGTATTGTTAAAGAGACCCTGCAACACTTTTCTAAATAATCAAGCTATGAATTGAATTGCCTGATGTATTCACTGCCACAAAAATTTTCCGAATCCATCCAGTACAAGCGGAGTTACAAAGATTTGTCGCATGCTGTCATTCCATTTTTTGGTCTCAACAAACACTGGAAGCTAATTACGGCATGGGGGAAGAAAATGGTCACGTGCACCTCGAGACCTTGAGAAAATTGTTTTTTTTAAACTCAAATGCACAACTGTTCAATGCAGTTGCACAGTGCACACATAGCCAAGTCCTGGCCTCCCACGGCAGCCCCAGTAACGACTGAGTGAGCCATGCTCAAATTAGCTACTTGGCCAGGGGTGTAGTGATTTTTGAGCCCGTAGCGTCATTTGTGGAGAGAAGAGAAAGCGATTTTCAGCTGATCCTGAGAATTTATTGTGAATTCCAGGCTCCATGGTGCACTATCAAATTTGGCACACGTGTTTTTGGGACCCCTGACTTTCGATCAGCAGCATTTTCTGACCATGCACGGAAAATGTTGCAGGGCCACTACAAGCATTTTACTGAACGTTTATTTTAGCGCCGAACGAAGCTCGACTTACCAACTTACAGCATTAACCGCATATGATAGTGCTTCGGTTGCAATGAACCATTTTGTTGAAACTTAGAACATGTATGGTGTCTGCATGTGTTGTGTCAGCGCATGTGATATATTCTTATCCTTGTACTACTTTGCACTGAATATCACTCTCTTGCGGAACTTCAACACACCACAACTACTGTTCAAGCTGGTTTACGTTTTTATTAAAGGGCCACTCACCCGGCCCCATACGAGATTTTAGTTAGACAGTGGAAGCTGTTGGGTGTCCGATGAGGAACATTTTGCCACATAAATTTTTTGAATCGGTTCACCACGAGCAGAGAAAACAGGTTTTTTGAAGCAGCGCGAAACAAGAATGAGAGAATGCAAGCTCAAAACAGTTGCCGCTCCTCCACTTAGTCTTCGCTAGCCAAATATCTTCCCCACCCTCTCCAGCATCCGACCATGAGGTGAGGTGCGCATGACGCGCCCAAAAAAGTCCAGCCCCGAGCACGCGAGCAACGTTGCTTTGTTGACCAGCATTATTTTGCGATATTCTTGATATTCTGCCTATTTCTGCAGAATGGCTTGGACACGGTGGAATAGATGAGCACAATGAGTGCGCGAATGCGTAGGAGCGTTCCACAGCAGTCGTCTGCTCCGTGCGCTGACCGTGAAGGCACGAATGCATGAGAAATGCAGACACATTAGCCTTGCATTTCGTTGCAATTCGCCGGAGAAAAATGAAAAAAAGACACTCACATTCCCTTATTGCGTCTCATTATGTATCTAGAGTTTTATTGATCTCTTCAAGCAATAACTTACATATACTACACATGCCATGTTAAATAGAGAGAGAGAGAGAAAGGAAACGCCGGGAGGTTAACCGGACATTGGCATCTGGTTTGCTACCCAGCGCTGGGAGCGGGGAAATAGGGGCAAGAAAGGACATGAGTGCCCGTGCAAAAAAATGCACGGGCACTCATGCACACAGGAAGGAAAACACACACAGGAAGGGCAGTCCTAGCTACAACCGTTCAGTAAGGTCGATCGATCGCATAAAGTGTAGTAGCGCTTTCAGGGCCTTCTTCTGTGAAGTTGCATCTTGTCGATATTGTAACATTTCTTGCTCCGACAGAGGTTGATTATCTAATTTGCTGAGTTCCTTGCGAAGGCATAGTCATTGTTTACTATACTCTAGGCAGTCACAAAGAATATGTTGGATCGTTTCTTATTTGCCACAGTGGCCACAGGCTGCGGTGTCGGCCATCCCAATGCGGAAAGCGTAGGCGTTGATAAATGCAACGCCCAACCACAGCCTGTATAACAGGGTCTGGTCTGCTCGGCAAAGCCTCGACCGGAACTTGAAGACTTAGCGTACGGTCAAGCGAGTACAGTCGGGCATGCTTGAAGTGTGGCTGATTCCATTGTGATGTGGTTTGCTGGCGAGCAAGCCTGCGGAGCTTTCGTGTAGCACCTGTCCTAGAAAGTGGTAGTCGTAGTTCGTGATCTTCTGAGTGGGCTGAGCGGGCAGCTTGATCGGCCCGTTCATTGCCGATGATTCCGCAGTGACTGGGTAACCACTGAAATGTAATTTGGTGCCCTTTCTCAGTCAGGTGGTGTATAACCTCTGCTATCTCTAGTACCAGCTGCTCGTGTTGTCTAGGGCGTAAGGCTAATAGTAGAGACTGCAGTGCCGCCTTCGAGTCGCAGAAAATAGTTCACTTGCATAGTACGTTGATCAACTACAAATTGCAACGCAGCATGTAGTTAAATAATTTTCACCATGTCACATGCCCCTGTTTGCAACGTCAGAGCAGTCGTCTACTTAGAGGACCAACGTCACTGCATTGCCGTGTACGTAGGGCCATTCATACACGCACATCATGCCCTCATTCTCTGGGCGCGCGCCGGCAGAAGGGAGGAAGAGCAGCGTTCATCTTGAAATCTGACCCATTTCTGCGACGCATAGCGTTGTAAATTTGGGCAGACGTGATCATGAACGCTTTGTCTACCCATTTCGCTTGTCCGCTGAAAATTGTCAAACCTGGTGAGTGGCCTTTTAAGATTCCTTGATGTTATTCTTTGTATTTTTGTCTGCCTGGTGCACATCTACTAAAAATAAACATATTTGATTAAATGTGCCAGGGTAACTCGCACTGCTTTACAAACAATTAGCGTGACAGTGGAACTCTAACTTCAATATTTTTGCAATATAAGCTTCCTTAGGCACGAATATAGGTTGATAGCTTGTAACATTTCCGGAGGAAGAAAGGCTGACCTACACTCGAATAAATGCGGCATTTGTTAGAATGACTTACAGCGGCCCGTCGGTGCGACACAGAGAGCATGTCATGGGTGATGACGTGCTCACTGGGCAGTGAGTCCATGTCTGTCCAAAGGCTCCGCACTGTAGCTGGGTCCGCATAGAATGTGGTGTTGTAGTAGTCGTGGTGATCCTACAAGCAGAGCAAAGACAGCATCGTCAAATTTTCTTTGGTGTTACAAGTAATAATTAGCACAAACAACAAGTCTTGACATTTAATCACACTTGCGGCACAATAAATCAATCACACCTTTTGCCGAGTGCAACATCACTCATTGATAACAGTGCACTACACAAAGGTATAATAGCTATAAGAGAGTTTCATAAGGCTAAACTGGTGCACTAACTGCAAAGTTTTCAATTTCGCACACTGACTTATCAATCTTCTACAAAACTAAATTTCCCATTTTATAAAAGCTAAATGTGCTCGTCTTCTTCTATTATTTAATTGCAAACCCAAAAAGCGTGCCCTAGTTAATTAAACAAAAAAATTTGCCCACATTACACCCAGGTTCATTTCTGTTTAGAACTCGTGAATAATGTGTACGTGCTAGATCCAGTGGCACAGCAGATTCAAGCGAAACATTAAGGATACTGTTCATCATCTTTCACAGTCTAGCATCACAGTACCGCACAAAGTGTGGTACTGTGAATACCATTTGATTGCAGCCACAAGTATATATATATATATATATATATGGCTTTTATTCCTGCATGCATACTTTCCATTGTTGCTAGCGAATCAATTTTTCTCAAAATTAAAGCCGAAATTCTTTACACTGCACAGAGAGTCCAGAAAAAATATAAAAAAGGAAACCCTAAAAATAGAGATTGGGGGGCTAAATACCTTGTATTGGTCTAAGAGGACAATTGGGCCAGTCAGTGATTCATGATCAATGTATGCTGCCCGGTAGAGAACACAAATGATGAGAAGACAAGGGCAAGGCTTGTCCTCTTCTCATCATGCCTGTTCTCTGCCGTGGAGTATAGCCCCACTGACTGACTGACCCTGTATTGAGTGAGCACCACAATGAAACGCAGTGTGCTCAATGAGGTAGTCTTGATGCGATGAGGTGACAACTATTTAGCAGTTCATAAGCTCACAAGATATGCAACAACTGCAGATACAAGAACATACCACTTGCCATGCATGACATTGCCCGACAGTCCCCAGTCTTATTTTTGTGTGCACACATACAAATACCAAAGCGGTGATGAGGCAACTTGCCAAATTTGCAAAGCACTGCATTATCCAGAAGTTCTGGGTTTGATTCCTACCTATGGCAAGTTAACTTTGTCCACTTCAACATCTCTTTAGCTTATATCTACATTGCGATTAAACATATTTTAAAGTCCTCTGTGCTCTTTTGGGAACTAATGCTTGATGCTTCATATAGCTTTCACATGACTGTAATCCAATTGGCACTCTCACTTGTGGCATCAACATGCTGGAGTTTTTTTTTTTTTGCATAAATTAGGTTTGCTCAAAGTGAGTTGTCTAAGAAACAGCGTCAGGGATTTGTTAGGCCCTCACCGTCTGGTTCTGGTACCCTGGGGGCAGTGTCACATTGCCCGACTCAACAAGGCTCTCCAGCTCTTCTTCGCTGAGGAAAGATGTCGCTAACGGTGGCACCTGAGTTGGCATCGACACATTGCTCGTCTCGGTGTTGGCAGGTGCGGCGGTAACAGCAATGTTGGGGGGCACTGCCGGAGCTTCGGAGGTAAAATTGGCCACCAGATGCTGCTGTGGTGCCGGTGGCGGAACAGGCGCAGCTGGCGGTGCCACTACGACTGGCGTGGGAACTGCGGGTGGCCCTGCACTTTCCTCTACGGGAATCTCCTTGTGCTTGGATAGCTCCGGCATTTTTATGACGGGTGTCTTGGTCAGGCACCTTTTTAGTGTCCATCGTTGGCTTTTTGGTTGGCTCACTGGTGCCAGAGCCACGTCGGACACGATGGAGTGACACAATGTCTTCGCGTGACAGCTCTGCAGCAGCAGCGCCGGCCACGTCATAATGCACAGCTGGAATGCAGAGTGCACAATGTGGTTTCAAAAATGTGTAGCCACTCGGAATACAAAAATTAATAGCACGAAAAAGAATAAGGCGCAATGAAAAATGCAATGCAGCCTGCAGTTTCCAATATATAAAGTTTTCTTACTCTGTGCAAATACTATATACCTAGTTACAGCTTAAGCAAAAATGTCAGCTCCAGCTACGCCATCCACGTATCACGCTATCTTCGTTTTGAGGCAATTAGCAACACGCTCTGAATGGTTGAGCTTATATTGCTCACGATAGTATATTCTTATATGGATGTAAGTTATGGAAGTGATATTCATACAAGAAAGAAATAATCATTGAAAGAGCTTCCCCAAAGCTTCCATCGTGAAGTGAGACACAAAGACAAGTGGAACTCGAGTGTATTTTTTCAGTGGTTCCACAGAGGACATCCTAAAACTTCTACTAGCCACGAAATTCATAACAGGCGAGACATGCCCTGACCCCTGCTAGGCTTTTATTTCACAAATGCAACAACAGTAATTAAATAAGCAAGTCCAGTATTATGAGGCAGCGCGACACCAAGCTGCTAAGGTTGATGCTCAAACTCAGCACGTCCACCGAAATCGTACAGAGCCCAGAAAAAATGTATGCACAGAAACTACCTGGAACATAACAAAACACTGTTGGAAGGGAGCGAGTGGAGCACTCTGAGGAGTAACACAAGAACAAGCTTCGAAACTGAAGTGAATAGAAGCAAGCCCTGACGTGATGCTGGTGTAGACTTGTGCTCGCTCTTAGCATCGAGTAAAGACAGGTCACTTGGTGGTGAGGACGTGGCCAGCCTAATTTGTAGATTAATGGCCTGAAAATTTTCCATCTTCAAACTGAGGCACAATCAAGTTAATGCGTTGGTTATGAGCACTATAAAATGTTCTTTAGCTGTCGTCGCGAGACGGCGGTAAGATTCACATAAAAGTCGGCATGAATTCTGCTCATTAGCTTCACACAGCATTTGTCTATAGGTGTGCTAGCTATCAAGCGTTCACTCTATTCGAAATAGCTTTGTCACACATGCGCATTTAAATCTGCAAATAGCGAAAAAGCGGGGTGAATTGCAGGGGAACCCCTGCAAACTGAATACTGAGTATGTGCTGTTACATACTCTTTTGTTATACAAGAGTGGGCTATGCCAGCTGCTTCGAGAGAGTGACATGAAGACTCGCAGGTGCCAGCTTGTGCCTCACTGCACACGTGCCGTGCCACATGTGTACACACTATGGCAAGATGTATGCTCTATTTTTCGTCCTGTCTATTTGTAGATATGGTTTCACAGAGAACATGAATCTCCCGTACTAAGCAGAGGACATAACTCTTACAACAGGCAACTACCAGAAAAGAAAAAGAAAAAACCCCCTCTGTGCAGGAGATAAAAAAGGACAGTTGAATAAAACGCCCAAAGACATACACAGGAGCTCTTCTACCATGCATTGTAATGGTTAAGACCCACCGGAAGTTGAGCGCATGTGACCTGTGACCAAACCAATAAAATCATCGCTAGCATTCTAAACATGATGTAGAATGGGCTATCTGCTGACGACTCTAGCTTTTAAAACATGCATGATGTCTAGTTCTTGGCATATTAGGTAAGCACTGCACAACATGACACAATTTCGCAGCTTCCAACATCGGTCGTTTCAGCTAAAATTTTTAACTGCAGTTGTATATAACACTGCACTTGTATATAACAGTTTTTCAGAGGTTAATCCTTATCTCATAAAGTAGGCAGGCTGCACTGCCACGACTGTGTTCAGCAATGAGTGCAAATGAAAGATCAGAAGAGATTGTAAAACTTTCCAGAAAACAAACGAACAGAAGAAGAAACACTTCACAGTATTGTGACTTGAAGCAGTGCTGAGTACATGAAAGAAAAAGGGTGGCGAAAGACGTGTCGAAACACAATGTGCCAATTGAATGACGATAGTTATAGCGCGAGAACAAAACGACGTCACAGAGAGAAGAAGGACACGTCGTCGTTTTGTTCTCGCGCTATAACTATTGTCATGCCATACCAACTAGCCCAAGCTGCCACACTTCTAAGTGCCAATGGAGATCAGGTCTGGTAGGACTCAAGCTATGTTCGATGCCAGGCGGCAATACATAATAGCTCTCAGAATACACGAACGATGCAAGAAGCGGAGACCTTGGGGGAACAACATCTTCAATGCCCAATGAAACATGCTTTGAGGAATAGAATGGACGTTATGATGTAAGCTTCAGAAATCTTTTTGTTTGAAGTCATGCTAAGAATTCTTAGGTCACTGGTCTTTCACATTTTTGCTGTTTCTATTCTTTTCAGTGTAATAGAGACGAGTTGATTGACAAAAAGGATTTAAGTCCATGTGTGAAGGCAGGCGCCGAAAGATAAGCGCCAGCTTCAGTTTCACGGAGCACACAAGCTCGTAGCAGTTGCCAGGCATCCTAAGAACTGGTGGAACAAACAGACACTTGCAAAAAAAGCTGCTTGTTACATCACAGCTCACGAGTGCGCCACTGTTGTTAGGCCCCCGGACTATTCGCTTGTTTATAAAAATGCTCATTAAAAATTGAGTTCTCAACCAAATGCACTTCAATTTTGCCAGCTTGTTTGTGAATGCCAAAGGATTAACCCACATAACACAAATTATGGAGGCACAAAGGCCTTCAAGTGAGAGTTGGGTGCCATGGCCCTTTTAAAGCCTCAATTTTACATTTTGACGGGCATTTGTGTTTGTACATGTTGCCACTGTCGAAATGTGTTTAAAAAGCCGCAAGATTGTCAAGTTGTACAGGTTAACTATCACGTCATCGTTACTCGCTGTGTATGGAGGAAAAACTAAATAAATTGAAGATCAAACGAGTTGTCAATGCCCCAGCTTAAAACAGAAGCAAAACAAGGCTAAGCTAAACCATCTGCATTAAAATGAGTGCATACCAAATGGGTTACAGCCACCTGCTGTACTACATTCGATGAATAGGTCTCAATTCGGGCTGAGCAATGATCACAAATGAAAGCTTGGCATTTGAATCATCTCTCAAACGTGCCAAGAGTTAGCCTTTTATTGCTGCTTCAGAGAGCAGGTGTGTCATAGCCAATAAATTTAAGAGCCCCCTCCTTTTCACTGCTAACTGATTATGCCACCTTCATTCCAAGGACCTCTTGATGTTATGAAAGACACTATCCGAAGTCGGCAATGCTTAAAAATGAGACAAAGTCTATGTGAAAAGTGATAAATCAATACAAGGTGTACAAGGTGCCATGCTATCAAATACATTGTTGATAGTGCTTTAGGCAGATTTAGATTGATGAATCCATTGATAGAATGAAATCACAATGCCAACGAAGAAACAGTGTACTGACGTTACAAAACTTGAGAAGTAGTTATAGCAGAGGCACTTTGGTGAAGTGCCCGACACCTGTTGGCGAGGAAGACGTATATTGCAGATTTTTGCGGCAATGAAAAAGGCAAGCAGTGGAGCAGCACAGCCGACGATGACGTCATGAGCTGCGGCAGTGCATCGCGCAAATCTCCGTCGCGAATCGTATCCCCTCCCTCGTCGACTCTTTTGAAGGGAGAAGTCAGACAAGCGCTCCGCTGCGGGTCAGTAGCCCGCCGTTGTAAGACAGGAGAAGCAGGAAGGATGCGACACTTCGCGTCGCCCAGGCGCACGAGTCGCGCCAACAAGCCTCAATTAAACGGGCACGATAGGGGCGCCGAAGAAAACGTAAGCACGCGACAGCGAAACTTTTTTTTCGCAGTTCAAAAAGCGGCCGCTCGACGCGGTATTGGGTTTCGGTGGCAGATAGCACGGCTCACGCTTTCTTTTCTTTTTTTTTTTATTTTTTGTCCTTCCAACCGTGGCGAAGCCAACCAAATGAGGCAAGAACTCGCAACAAAGGAAAAGAGGGCGACTTGAGCACGCGCGTCGAGGAAAAGGCGCACCGCTTCGAGACCGCGCAGCTTCGCCGACAGCACGACCGAGAAGTGGAAAAAAAAAAGATAAAGAATGAGTAAAAAAAAAAAAAAAACAACTGCTCCAAGGCGCTCGCGTACATTGCTACTGCGCTGCCAAAACAAGTACGCCCTCACGGCAACGTCTTTTTGTGAACGGACAAGCAAGGCCACTCGTGCCAAACGCCTCATCGCCGCCGCCGAAATCGACAGCGAGCTGCTGTTCGGTTTTCATTTCGTCAGAGCACGCTCGGCGCGCTCCGCCTCGAGCGACGCACGCCGTTTTGTGTAGACAAACAGCTGTTGACAAAAAGGAAGCACAACGCAGTCGTTCACCGCGTCCCCGAAGGCCGTATCGCTACTCGGCGGCGCCTCCAGTGCCGATTTCGAGGTCGAAAACGCGAGCGGCCGACGGGAAATTAGCATCCGCGGTGACGCGCAGCTAAACGCCGAGCGGCCCGAGTGATCGCAGTAGACGAAATCGCGGTCGCAAGATCAATCCGCCAGGAAACGGCCTTGTAGCAGCGGCATGGGGCTGTGCGCACAGAGGAATATACGAAAGCGCGGGAAGAAAAATAAAAGAGACCAAGCACACGATACTCGAGCGCGTTTCATACGAATCTTGTGACACCAATACGGAAATGACACTGCTACAGGAAACGGCCTTTCCGGTCTCGATCTGGTTAGCGCGACAACCGTAACACGTACACTGATGCAGCAAAAGCATGGCGCGAGTCTCGAGACACTGAAATATGTGAAGTTAATGCTCAAGCATAGAAAACTTTTACAGAATCGTTGCGTGCATGGAAATCGGATCGACTGTTTTGAAAGGAAGCTCCTCAGTCCACACGATCAGTTTTTGTTGGACTATAAAAGTTGTTCGACCAATCCCAGCGTAGCGAAATATCGTAACTTGCCGCCCACTGAATTCACAAATTTTCTTACCCGAGGTTTCAACGATGAGCAGGACGCAAAGGCTGGAAATCGCTATAATACCCATTGACGGGAACAACACAGTACACAAACGGGACGCCATCTTCGAAAGTTCACTCCTGCGCTGTCTGACTGTGGCGCAGGATAGCGTCAAGTGCGACGACCAGGCGCAAAAACGAGCTTTCGCCGACAGCCGCGAGGTGGCTGCCACCCGTACCGTCAACTTTCGCTTGATGGCGATGAAACGGCGCTTTAGGAGCAATTTCAAGCTTCACTCCTTCGGTGCAGTAGCTCCACGAGCTTTACAGTTAGTAGACGATAGTTATAGTGCGAGAACAGAAAGACAACACTGAGACAAAAAGGACACGAAGGACACTGTGTCTTGTCTCTGTGTTGTTCCTCTGTTCTCGCCCTTATTACTATTGTCATGTCTTACCAACTAACCCAAGCTGCCACACTTCTAAGTTGCAGCTCATAGATCTAGTAGTACGCTGCACAAGGCATAGCCTCTGAGACTATGCATCAAACATCATTGTGGCATCTCTGGAATACACTTCTGTTCAGAACAACCCGTCGTTTTACAATTCACTATCTCCTAAAGAAAACTTGTGTTGAAATATATTAAGTCTTTGGTTTGCAAATCACAAGAAGTCTCCGTCAAAATTTTCCAATATTATACGTGACAGAACCACCCACTCGAGTAAATTGCCCACATACATAGAGTTTCATGTATGAAATTCTATGCCCACATGCCACAGCAAAATACATCGATCGATTTCTGAACTGCATGCGCCAGAAGCGAGTGTTTCTGATACAATATATATCTATATATATATTAGAAAATTTTGAAGTATTTTCATGTACACTGTAGAATGAAACTTCAGTTTTACAAGTTCACATTTTTTCACTGGTTCAGAAAGATAACTTTTGAAACTGAGAAGTAGCAACGGTAGCCACAATGGAGCCCTGAAATGACAAACATTGAGGAGAAACTATATTAAATTTAACAATTATTGAACTTAACAATTAATGAAGATGTTTTGAGGTAAGGCAATGATAGAAAAAACAGATTGCTCTGAACAAGAAAACTGCGATAGAGTCTTTTTTTTTTTTTCGTTACGACTACCCACTTACATGCGGATGACGAGCCACCAAGATGTCACCAACAAACCAAACCATGAAGACGCAAGTGAGCTTTTAATCTGTTGAAGGAACTCTTGTACCAAACCATCAAATTTCAATTTTTTTTCTTTTTCATTTTCATGCATTCATAAACATATCTGACCACGTTGCACATTACAACAAAAAGCCGATGCTACTGTGAATAACGACGGCCGCTCGATGAACAAGTGGCAGCGCAAAAGAGTTCAGCCGAATATCACTATCACGCGCCGCAAGCATAAAGTTTCGTAGAATAATAATTGTATGAAATTCTATGGAGTTTCATACAATAGGGAAAGTCTATGGCCGCTACGCCGCCACATGGGCAAGGAGGTAATGAAACTGTTCGAGTGGTGGTAGCGAATGAAGGTGAAGCCGGAGAAACCGGCCAGCGGCCATGGTGCGAGGGGCAAACAGTAAGCTGAAGGGGCGCTTACAGACGAACGGATTTATTTCAATCTCATTCTTTTTAAGAATTGTTACAGAAATCCGTGAAGCTTGTCTGGTGAGCTCTTATTATGGCAAAAGCATCTAAATGCCTCAACAAACGCGAAAATTAACCGTAGCTTATATAACAGAAACCATCTTCAGTGCGTTTTTAAAACATTCTCGTGAGGACGTTTGAACGTACCGAGAACATGCTCAACTAGTTCAAGAAAAGCCCTATTATTTGGCTTCAGCACATTTCACAAATGCTTCAACAGAACATTTTGCGCAGCAACTGTGCTTCACAGTGGGACATTTCTGGGACATTTTGCGCCCCGACCCCCGACTACGCTACCCACCAGGATTGGTTGTATGCTGAATTGATCTATTTTATCTTTTATTTTCATGTGAAGACACCGTTAGTGCATGGTTGTGTATTAATAGTACAGAAACATGCCAGTGTCAATGCAGATAATGTGCCTGCAGGGTACGTGAAACAATATTTTGTGGTACGTGGCTGCCCAAGCAACCTCGGCCGACTGCCGACGATTGGCGAATGGCTGACATGTACTCGCACGGAGAAAGGAAAGGTTTCTTCCTCCATGTGTACCTTTCCTTCCTCCATGTGTACTCGGCAGACAACTTCACTGTCCCCCGGACGCGTATTTGGAATTGCTGGCCCCGCATCGCACGAAAGAGGGAAAAGAAAGAGTGCGAGGAGGATGCCAGTGGCCGCGGCAGGCAACATTTCTAGAACTAGGTAAGTTGCAAAACTGAGCGATGTTGCGCGGCACCACCGCTGCCAGCGACAAATGTGGCGCTGCTGTCGCATCCGGATTCACTCACGCATGCTCGCTCATGTCACTCCCGTAACCTCCGTCGGCTCTGCATGTTGAAGTGCGTCTTTATCCGTGGAGGCTTCTTTCTACGTGAACAGTTTTATGCTTCAGCGCGCCCTGTTCTGCTTTGTATGTGTTGCGTGTTTTCATCATGCCCAGATGTTGCGTTCTCGGCTGTAGAGTAGCTACAGGAAATGAGAGACACCACAACATTTCTTTTGTACCCACGTGTACCTGAGCACGAGAGGTATGGGACCACGCTATTCCTCGTGCGGATAAGAAACTGCCCAGCACCTCACGTGTGTGTGATATGCTCTTTCATGAGAAGGACATCCTGAAGACTTTCACTCACGTCATATGGTAAGAAGGTACAAATCGCAAGAGGAAAGTGGGACCTCGTCGAAGGATGCGTTCCACGAATATTCCCGAATTTGCCCGCTTACTTTTGTTGCGGGGCCCGCGACGAAGAAGCGAAAGCTGCCCGATAGGAGTGGGGTGTTTTCCAGAATATCATCGCCGAAAAAGAATAGACTATCTCCGAGCACTGAGCTCGAAGACAGTGAAATAAGTTCCGACATGCCATCAACTAGTGGCGTCATTTCGCTTAAAGACATAGAAAACGTTTGTTTGCATGCAGAGTTGTGGAGGATGGCGAAACAAGATGTCTTGTGGTGTTTCTAGGGCTCAAAGAAAAAAAAGAGCGCTATTTGTGGAGAAATGCGTTTCGTAGCAGAAGACATGACAGTCACTATTAGCAGCCGTCACAATCGCTTAGCCAAGTCGCCTGGTAATGCAGATACCATCCCCCTATGGGACGAACTTCTGGAACACATAGAAAAGCTGCAAGTGTGTTCATGTTGTCCCAATGCGTCAACAGGCAGACTCGTGAGTAATGACTACGAATTGCTCACCGATACCCCAAAGTGTGGTCTCTGCTCGAAGCTTTGGCTGCAGCTGTGTTAAAAGGTTTCATTAGAGGAACTCCATAAGAAGCAGAGGGAAGAGATACCGCACGCGTAGCTTTTCGACGGTCTAAGTTGCTAAAGAATGTGACTGACATGAAAAAAAAAAAGCTGACTACATAACCAGACAAAAGCCATGATATTGTGCCACATAGTTGTAATTTATTTTCAAGCCCAAAAAACACAGCCACAAAACGTATGCCAGGCATTGTAATTGGGTTTTTCTCGTCTAAAGATCTATTGCGAACGTACACTAACTAGAAACTAACCGACAACTCGTATGCCATGCTATATATATCAAGCATTGTTTATTGTGGGCAGTTCAGAAAACCATATTTACACTGTATTTGCCTTACACCGCTTAATATTACGCAGTATTAAGTTTATGCGGCAGCACAACAAATCTTGATAATATACTGTTGGCAAAGCTCTTGCAGAACGGCCACCACGGCGTCTTGCCACGACGACTACGCGTTTTCGTCTGCTAGCGGAAGCTTGTTGCGCCGCCAGCGCCACCAAACCGGAAGCTGTCTCAGCGCCGTGTGACCAGTAGTCTGACGCGGGGAGTTCTGCAGCTTACCTAGTCTAGAAACGTTGGCGGCAGGTGCGGACGAATCGGCCGGCGCAGCTTGAAAAGGAACACCACCGGTGGTATGGTGGTCCCCTCAAACGTGATCGTGACGCGCCTGCCACGGCGTGTACAGGAGATGACCGGAACGGCCGAGTCGATGTTGGCCGCGATGTCAGCGTGGTCCAGGTCCTCGTCAATGTCGTGGATAAGTCCAACACAGGTGTTTTCCGTGAGGAACTTGGACTTGACGTTTAGGGAGCAGATTCCCCGAACATCGAGGAACTCCGCAGGATATGCAGCCGGTGGAATGTCGACGGCAACGAGGTTGCGTCGGAAGTTGACGCGGACGCGCCGGGTGAGGGCGAAACCGGAAAGAAACGCCACGATTGAGTCACAAGACATGGCGAGGAATTTGGCTGGTTCCTCCACCGGTGTGTATATGATGGTGCCGCCGCGATTCCACCGCGGTCTGTATATGATGGTGCCGCCGGGATGTGGGTAGAGGTCGGAGGATGGGCGGAGAAATGCGGAGTGGCGACTTCACCTGGCGCACCTGTCGTGTCTGTTGTTGCACGCGACGAGAGAGGTGTGGAATGCTCCCAAGAGGCACCACCACGGGCACTACCAGCATTGACGTACGCAGATGATATAGTGCTAATGGCCAAAAACAAAAAAAAAAAGATTTGCAGAGATTGATGGACATCTGCGGTAATGAGGGAGATAGGTTAGATTTCAGATTCAGTAAGAAAAAATCAGACATGTATTTTAATGATAATGAAGGTAGTGAGCTTATAATACAGGAGATGACGCTAGAGATAACAGATCAACACAAATATCTGGGCGTATAGATAAGCAATGGGACCGAGTACCTAAGCGAACACGAAATATACGTGACGACTAAAGGTAACAGGAATTCAGCGGTGATGAAAAACAGGGCACTGTGGAATTACAACAGGTATGATGTGAGAGGAATATGGAAAGGGGTCATGGTTCCTGGTCTGACGTTCGGCAATGCAGTCTTGTGCATGAGATGAGAAGTTCAAGCAGGATTAGAAATTGAGCAACGTGGAATAGGTAGGCTTGCTTTAGGAGCTCACGGGAATACACCAAATCATGGAGTGCAAGGTGATATGAGATGGACATCATTTGAGGGCAGGGAAGCTAGCAGCAAGACAAAATTTGAGAAGCGATTGAGAGAAATGGGGGAGC